CATAACTCTGAAGTAATGAATTTAGGTAAATGGGTGCAGAGCCAGTGGTGGTTTTGTATCTCATGGAAAAAAAAAAGTAACTATTTTACGACGTGGCGATTTTCGTATGAAGTTTTGTTATTCTAACGAAAACGTACGAATTCATAATTAACCACAAATGGGCTAAAACATGAACGGCTACACATACGATACTACCCACCAGGTAATATACATATTTAAAGTTTTATATTGCATACCATTCATCTACTACAGTTTTGCTGAGTGCCTGGTTCAGTTTGACCCTGCAAACGATTTGATCGGAAGTTCGTTTGATTCGCCTGTTTTATTGTTGCGCAGGAATATTCCTGGACTATGAGAAAGGGGGGCAGCTCAGAACGAAATCCATCGATCTGTTAAACTTGACTCCAGAGTAAGTATGACTGTCAAACTAGTTCACTCATAACTACACAGAAAATTCATCCGTCTAGGTTACACTTTAAATTAATGTTCTACTTGTTAACAGTTATATATACTGACTACCTATTTATCTGATAAACAAGTCTACATCTTTATACGCAAGTGTACTGTTTTCCTTCTCTAGGACTGATGTGAATGAGTTACTGTCAGACATTAGAGCAGCTGAACCTCTCATCACCTCATCCTGCGTTGAACAGGTGAAAGTCCTGATCTGCAAACTACAAGAGAAAGTCAGCCAAAAGGATGACCGCAAGTTCTACCTTTTCAGGGTACTAATAAATACTGACCAATCATGCACAAGTATATTTGGGTCATGCATATTTGATCTGTTTTGCATATCGTGATTCTATTCTGAAAAAACGTTTGGCTCTTCATCTCCAGGGCAATGCAGTGACAGCAGTGTTAGACTTCATCAAAAACTAATTTAAAGGAATAGTTTGCCCAAAATGTAAATTACTGAAAATGTACTCACCCTTAGGCCATCTAATATGTAGATGAGTTTGTTTCTTCATGGGAACAGAGTTAGAGAAATCCAGCATTCCATCGCTTGCTCAGCAATGGATGCTCTGCAGTGAATGGGTGCCGTCAGAACAAGAGTCCAAACAGCTGATAAAAACATCACAATCATCCACACCACTTCAGTCCATCAATTAACATCTAGTGAAGTGAAAAGCTGCCTGTTTGGAAGAAACAAATCCATCATTTTAATTTCAAGTCCTCTATCCATTTCTCTAGTGAAAAAGTCGTCTTGTCTGAATCAGGAGAGAAATATACGCAGATAAAGCACACTTTACAAGTGAAGATACACTCCAAAACACTTTTAAACAAATATGTGGGTGGATTTCGATGTGAGAGGACAACAGGGAATGGACTTTTTCACTAGAGGAAGTGTTATTATTTTTAGTTATATAGTTTTTGACAAACATGCAGATTTGGCCTCAAGAGATGTTAATTGATAGATTGGAGTTTTGAAGATTACTTATTTATTGTGATATTTTTATCAGCTGTTTGGACTCTCTTTCTGACGGCACCCATTCACTGCAGAGAAACCATTGGTGAGTGATGTAATTCCAAAATTTCTCCAATTCTGTTCTGATTAAAGAAAAAAAAACCCATCTGTATGTTGGATGACCTGAGGGTGAGTAAACTTGAACACAAATTTTCATTTTTGGGGGAACTATTCCTTTAAACAGCATGTTCCTACTACTTTTACTGTATATCCATTATACATGTACTTTTTATATTCACTTTTTTATAACTGAGAGACATGCCGGTTGTACTTTTATTAACTAATTTGGCACACAGCACGACTAGTTAAAAGGACTTGTGAAGAATCCATGATATTTAATTATTGAATATTACATCATTTAATCCAAACTTCCATTCTTCTGCTTTTGTTCATTACCGCCACAATTACATATAGCAAAAATAGCCGAAATTAAATGCATTTGAATGATTTTCTAACATCATTTACTCTGATCAACACTTCTTAGATTGATATTACCCACTAGGTGGCAGCAGAAGGAAAACGACTGTTTTTGAACATCAAAGTCATAGTAATTATGTATGGAAATTACACAGTCAAGCTTATAGATCTGAAATGAATTAATGTGGTTAAGTGCATCCCCCCTCCGAGTATTCATCTTCTCTGTCTTCCTCTTCAGGCACTTCAGGCTCACATCTTGCCCCTGACGAATGTAGCCTTCAATAAATCAGGATCGAGGTGAGTTTATCAGCTGTGCTCACATGCCTGCTCCCCCCCCTCCCTCTAATTCTGCCTCTCTCCTTTACTTTCCATCTGTTTGCAGTTTTATAACCGGAAGCTATGACAGGACTTGTAAAATATGGGACACCGCATCCGGAGAGGAGCTGCACACTTTGGAGGGTCACAGGAACGTTGTGTACGCCATCGCCTTCAACAACCCTTACGGGTAACAGCAGGGCTCTTGCGCATTGGATCACTCATGCCCCGAATCCTTCAGAATGGCTTACCCTTCATCTTTCCCTTGTTTTTTTTTTTTTAATGAAATAGAGAAAAGCACTCTCAGTCACCTCTCTGTCTCTTTCTGCAGGGTTAGGGCACTGCAGGGTAACTGGTGTTGCTATTACAATGGGACCATTTGTCACTTTGAGTCATAACAGGAGCCCTTGTCCTTTTTTTCTCTCTCTCTCTCTCTCTGCCCTCTTTCTTGCTCGCTCTCTCTTGTTTTCTCTCTCAGAGACAAGGTTGCCACAGGCTCCTTTGACAAGACCTGCAAATTGTGGAGTGCTGAAACAGGAAAGTGTTTCTACACGTTTAGAGGGCACACAGCAGAAATCGTATGTTTGCATTCTCACTGCATTCACTCGAGTCTCAGCAGTTTAAAGAACGGTTCATCTCAAAATGATAATTCTGTCCTCATTTACTGTCGTTCCAAACCTGTATGACTTTCCTTCTTCAGGAGATATGTCCTGGCATGGGACACACTGAGACCAATGACATTTGACGTCATTGACTTCAAGCCTGGCACAGTGTGTCTTGATATGTTTTGGTGTATGTGAAGGCTGTGAAAGACTAGAAATATAAAGTGAGTAACATCAGTTACGGTTATGATGCTTTTATGTTTGTTGCCTTTTTTGAAGCTTGACAGCCCTATCCCTATATGGAAAACAGTTGCCAGGACATTCTGTGAAATTTGTGTTTTACAGAAGAAAGAAAAACAAATGGGTTTTGGAATGTCAGGAAATGAACATACTATGAACCAAATGTGGTTATTTTTATGCAGAATGTTGGTTAGCAAACAGTTTTGGTTCCTATTGAGTTGTATTTTCTGTCTACCAATGGATGTCAATGGGAACCAAACCTGTTTGTTTACCAACATATCTTCTGCAGAAGAAAGAGAAAGTCATACAGGTTTGGAACGACATGAGGGTGAATTGAGTAAAGGCCTGTTCACACAAAGGATGATAACTTTTATAGGGATAACGATTAATATATAGTTATAAAAATTGTTCTCAGTATTAAAGAATAGCAGAGTCCACACCACAACTATAACGATAAAGGCACAGAGAAACGACATAGTTGGAATCACTTTCAGAATGTTTTTTTTTTTCCAGCTGATGAACGATAAAAAACATTGATACCCTATCAGAATCAATCCTGCTATAACAAGCTCGAGAATTTAAAGCGGCTGACGAGCATGCACTTAGAATAAACAGAAATATTATCTTTGTAGTTATCGTTCTTTAAAAATGACAGAATTGTCATTTTTGGATGAACTATACCATTAAGACATCTAAAACTGACTTTTTTTACAAGAAATGCTGTCCCTTAGAAGCAAAAATGCATGCTTGAACCAACACTTTTCTCAAGAATAGACAAAAATGTAATCCATTAATGCATGTGTCTGATTGTGTTCATCAATTTTTGGGGGTTGTTTTTATTTATTTCTATTATTTTAAAAAGAGATAGGACAGGACATCTAACACAACAACTTTAGGGGGCCTAAATTGGATTTCAAAAGACAATAGTGTAAAGGGAACGTTATCTGAGCCCCTAACTAAAGTGGACCAAAATGAGATCCAATCCACTTTCAAGGTCAATGACAGTGTGAATGCAAATAACATGTTTATTTTATATATTTCTAACTGAAAGAAAATGGCTGGCAAGGCCATTTAACACATTGGGGACATATATTCAAACACATAGGGTCCCATCTCTTAGGGGGCACCAAATTAAGTATGTTGAACAAGTTGTGTCTGGGAGTTTGACTTAAGATGCCAAATGGGGCAGAACCCTGTGCATGCATACTGTGCTTTATCAAACACCATTTGTTCTATTAATCTCAAATACTGTCTCTGTTTTCTGTGTGTATCTACTATTAGGTCTGCCTGGCCTTTAACCCTCAGAGTACCTTGGTTGCTACGGGCAGCATGGACACCATGGCTAAATTATGGGATGTTGAGAGTGGGAAAGAGATGTCCACATTGGCAGTACGTCTCATCCTGTGGTTTTTCTGTATTCTTGTTCAGTCAAAAACATTGCCACCTTATCCTGCTTAATCATTTCCCCCTCATCTGCTTATCTCCTACGGGATTTTGAATGATTTCTCTCCAGTGATCAGTGAAAATTCATCCATGCGTGTGTTTATTAATGGGTTTGTCATCAAATCTGTCATTACTACCATTTATGGGATAAGTCAAGCATTCCACTTTTAGTCGAATAGCAGCGTACCTGTATAGATGTGAGAAACGTGCCATGGGCTGGAGGGAGAGGCGAAGAGACGGAGAGTTTGGAGGTCTTCTCCTCTCCGCAGCACATGGCAGAGCAGTGTGACTGAGCGCTGTGTGTGTGTGCTGCGTAATTACCCCTCTTAACTCTCCAATTATTTCTCTATGAATCTAAATTATGAATAGCTCAGTGAGTTCTTACCGATGAATTGGGGAAATTAATATGATATTTCTTTGCTGAAGTGAAAAAGGCCGCCTTTCTATTAGAGCTTCCTCTCTCCACTCACAGCGTTTCTCCATTCAACACTTTCTCAGGGTCACTTCGCTGAGATCATCTCTCTCTCCTTTAACACAACGGGCGATCGATTGGTCACGGGGTCGTTTGACCACACTGCCATTCTGTGGGACGTTTCTACTGGCAGGTCAGTGTGTACTTCACAGTTAATGTTGTAACTTCCTGTTCACTACAATACTTGCCAATATTTAAATCTCTTAATTGCCTTGAATGCATAGATATGTCACTGCAGCACAGATATAGACAACACTATAAATAAATATAATACAGCAAGATCTAAATCAGTCGTATCATTCTTATATATTGTCATAGCACCCATCCCTAAATCTAAGGCACTGAGGCGTTAAAGACATAACAGTTGGACTTTCTGTAAAGTTGTTTTGAAAGGATGTGTATTATGAAAAGAGCTTTACGAATAACACGGTTTTTGTAGGTTTTATTAAGGCAATTTAAGAATTTTTAAAGACCTTTTTAAGACCAAATAAATAAAATGTAGGTACCAAATTGAAGTAAGGACAATACATTAAAATGTTCTCTAAATATAATTGTCTAGGGAGCACAAAACGAGTTAAACAAGCAACAGTTTGAAAACATACCTTTTGAACATATCTCCATTACTCTTTAATTCATTTTACAAAAAAAAAAAAACTTAACTAGAATATGGAAATAACTTTTACTGTACCTTCTGATCACACTGCAAAGAGTTGTCCTTCCTCAGTATTTTTGTCATTTTCCAGTGCAAATGTCTAAAGTTTCTTAAATCAAGATACGTTGAGAAGCAAAATAGCAAGATAAGAAGTCTTGTTTTCAAAGAAATGTATCAAAATGAAGTGAATTCATGATTAATACAAGAATAAATATCTGCCAGTGTGTGGGATAAGAAAAATCAAAGAAAAATATATAGTTCAGTCATGAAACTCTAGATGGCGCAGGCTGACGGGTTGTTAACATAACTGATGATATTCAGAGAGTTAAACGACTTGGCACAAGCTGATTGGTTCATGCTGCATATGCAGCCAATGAGCTTACTGCCTTGCATTTATATGGCTGGCTAGCATTCACTAGAGATTCTTGCAGCGCGCTTTCAGAGTTTCTCTGAAACCCTCCACCTTCCCCAGCTCCACCTGTATAGATCTGCTACTTGTTATTTTATTTGCTATTTGTGCAGCAGCAGTATGTCTTAAATACTCACGGCACCGTATCACTGTATGCATTGGCAGTAGCAAGTTCCTGCACTTCCTGCAATTCAGCAGCAGCAGCAGCGTAGCAGATCTATTCTGCCAAGACCAAATACATTAATATTGTCATATCCATATGTTCCTGTGGCTCAGTGGTAGAGCACTGCGTTAGCAGCGCAAAAGGTTGTGGGCTCGACTTTCTACTCTGATAGACCTTTTTAAGTCCTTAATTTGTGCAAGTTCAGATTTTTTAAGACCTGTAGAAACTCTGAATGAATTGGACTTGGCTTTTCAGACAGCGTAATGTATTTTGTATTTTGTCTGTCTCTTCTAGCAAAGTTCACGTTCTCACAGGTCACCGAGGAGAAATCAGTTGCGTTCAGTTCAACTGGGACTGTTCCCTCATCGTCACGGCCTCTCTGGATAAAACCTGCAAGGTTTCTGTCTCTCTTCACTCCGTAATTCCCATTCTGTCTCGTAAAAGAGCCTCTTAAATTATGATTTTTTCCCCTGGGGTCCTTTTATAATAATTTTGCATCCAAATTTAGTTTTTCCCTTACCAGGATTTGACGTTTGCATTAGAAGCAGTGTGATAGCAAGATGCTGAATCAAATGAATTTGGTTTTCATTAGTTTATATTTCTATATTTAAGTAACAAGGTTTCAGACAGTAAATCTGGAACAAGACGTTTTGAGTTTTGAGTTCTGAAACATGTTTATATGGTATACGACTGAACTCTTTTACTTCAAAAGATAAAGGACAAGTCTATTTTTCATGATGTGACCCCTTTAATGTTTTTTTTTCTTACATGTTGCATTCACTTTCATCTGAGTAACTCTCTTCCTCTGATTGTCTGTCTGTTCCTAGAAGTGCGAGGGCTCTTAATTATTCAGCACAGTCTGATGTTTCTCAAAAACACAGTGAGACAAAGTCTTCTCACAGCTTTTTACAAGTGTCAGTGTCAGTTCAATTTGGTGTGACTGTGGTTAGATAATAGCACTGAGATGTCTGCATGCATGTGTCTGTGTTAAATTAAGAGAATGGGCAAATTCCATTGAAGGGGACACACGCTGCACCCTTCATGAGTGAGCAGGGCAGAGCGATGTCCACTTTCTAATGGAATTCACTCAATCTGGCTAATATACAGTGTGTTTGTGAGGTTATTTCGGGTTGTGGTGTGGTTTGTGTGTTATATAACAGTTTGTGTGTATGTGTTTGTGTGTGTAGGTGTGGGACGCAGACAGCGGTCAGTGTTTGGCTACTCTCTTGGGTCATAATGATGAAGTGCTGGATGTGTGTTTTAACTACACTGGTCAACTGATCGCTACAGCCTCCGCTGATGGTGACACATCACAACCCTCCCTCTCATATTTTACACAACCCCCAAAACATACAAATCATTGTGCCTAAATCTTTATTTTCTATATGGAAAAAATAGTTTTGGATTGTGGGGTACGATTTACCAGTGAGTAAACAGACTATTCTAGCACACCACATAATTTGTCATGTCCATATATTTAAAAAGGCTACAGCTACATGTGATTAAGAGGCTATATAATATTATTTATTAATAATATTAATAAATGGCTGTGTCGGTGTCTCAGCTTGTAGTAATAACTTTGCCTCAAAATGCAGGAATACTACTACAAATACTATTAATATTTACATATGTTTATTACAAAATATTTGTTCACTATATTCAAATGTTCTGAAAAATTAAAGCTTTTTTTTTTGCCTTTTTATAAAAATTTTAATATGTGCTGTAAAATAAGACTTTTAAGGGTAATTATAATGATTTTGCATCCAAATTTAGTTTTTCCCCTTACCAGTGTTTTGACGGTTGCATCAGAAGCAGTGTGATAGCAAGATGCTGAATCAAATGAATTTGGTTGTCAGTATATTTGTGTAGTATGGTTCTAGACAGTGGTCTTTTTGAGTTTTGAGTTCTGAAATTTTGTTTACATTGTTCACGACTAAACTCTTTTACTTCAAAAGATGAAGGACAATTCAATTATTTTTTCCACCTTTTTATGAAAAATGTAATATGTGCTGTGAAATGGGACTACTTTAAGGGGAATTGTTTTTTGGTTTCATTTCTGTTTTCATAAATGACCATATAAATCAATTACCATAGAATAAAACTAATATGACACAGTTTATCCCATAAATATAGTTGCTTTCCTCTCATTTGAGGTGATAGCAGACATATAATAATTTATGCATTTAGCAGACACTTTTATCCAAAGCAACTTACAGTGCATTCAGGCTATACATTTTTTACCAGTATGTGTGTTTCCTGGGAATCGAACCCAGAAACTTTTGCACTGCTAACGCAATGTTCTACCACTGAGCCACAGGAACACATATAATAATATAATTAGTAATATTAGTTTTACATATCTCTTTGCCTGGAGGACAACTTAAAGTTGCGGCAGATCTTGTTTATTTTGACGTTGATCCAAGTGAAATGGATTATTAAAAAAAAATAAAATAAATTCAGGGTGGGGACTTGGTGATATTCATTAGGTGTTAATTGGATTTTGCATTGTGTTCAAAAATGAATGCTAGCTTGCAGTTGATTGTGGAGGTATGGAAGCCCGTTTCCGCCACTGAATAAAAAATAAAAAAAAGGTTATTGCAACTTTTTATCTCACAATTTGGACTTTTTTCACTGAATTGTGAGAAACTCGCAATTGCGAGTTATAAATTCTGAGAAAAAAAGTCAGAATTGCGAGTTTATATCATGCAGTTCTGACTTTATTTCTCACAATTATGACTTTTTAACTCACAATTGCGAGTTTATATCACACAATTCTGAGGAAAAAAAACATTTGTATTTTTTATTCAGTGGCGGAAACGGGCTTCCGTAGAGGGGCTGGTTTAAGTGGACTAAATGATTGGAAAGAGAAGTCTTTTGTTTTCACCAGAAGGTTGACTTGTGCTATTTAGATTAAAAATTACAAGGTATATTTTTTTAAAATAAATAACACATGCATAGATGAATCGATTTATAATCGAGTCTGATCATGTGTTTTTGTGCGCAGGTACATCAAGAGTGTTCAGCACAGAAACCTTCCAATGTTTGTGTCAATTAGAGGGCCATAAAGGAGAGATATCAAAGGTAAGAAATCACAGTATCTCTCCATTCTCGGCCTGTCACTCCAGCTTCAGACTCAATAATCCTCTTGTATCTCTTCACTCAGTCTCTTTCTTGGTCTGCTAAGGTGCTCATTTCCTGTCTAGGTCCCTTCCTGTTTATATCCACCTGTTCTGCTCTCTTGCCTCCATCCCAGCATCCTGCCTGTCGTTCGTCGTCTTCTCTGCATATTCATAAGGCCGTTCGCATTCTTATTGCTCATCTCATCTTTTCTCAGGCCTATCCTTAAACCATCTTGCCATAATATCCTCTCCTTTCTTTTCCATCCCCCTCCGGACCGTCATCACCATCAGCAGAATATTTCCATTTCCTGTATAGAGGTGATAACTCAAGTACGCACATGCACACTCGGTTCTTCAGCGCTATAATAAAACGCCTGTCATACCAACACGGGTCAGATTCAGTTCAGCTGTCTCTCTCGCGCTTCTCTCCTGCTCGTTGAAATAGGATGTTCCACATGCAAAACAAAAAGTAATTGTTTTATGATGGAATATGATTAAAAGCCGTCCCGACGCATTATCATAACAATAGGCAGAAATATAACTTGCTTTTTATTTTCTCCCTCTCTCTCGCCGTAGGTGTGTTTTAATCCGCAGGGGAGCCGCGTTTTGACGGCGAGCGTGGATAAGGCGGCTCGTGTGTGGTGCGTGAACACGGGAGTGTGTTTGCAGGTGCTGGAGGGACATTCTGATGAGATCTTCTCCTGCGCTTTCAACTACGAGGGAGACACCATCATTACAGGCAATTACACGCACCTGCGTAACACTCATAAATCCACAAACGTAATCATACGTCAGTAATTTCATGCCTTGTTGTCAATCTTTCTGCAGGCAGTAAAGACAACACCTGCAGGATCTGGCACTGAGAGAGCGGCCTGAACTCTGTTCTTACAGTACTCCTGCACCTCTTTTGATTAAGATATTGTGTGTCATCTTGTCACACTGCTCTAGTATTTCAGTTCACAGAGAACATGTATGTGTGGAGGACATTATGGTAACGCTTTACATGTATAATGCATTATAAAGGTATTCATAATGCATGTTGTGATGCATTATATATTTCATGAATAACTGTAAGCACAGTTAAAATGCTTTATAAAATTAGCAGATTCTTTGTAATGTTTAAAAATGGTTGTTTGTCATGTTTTAATGCATAATGATTTTTATAGGTGTGGTGCAGAATAGATCAATATTATAATTTATTCTAGCTGTGATTATTTATGAGATACAATGCATTGTAAGGTGCATTACAAGGCATAATTAATGCATTACAAATACTTTTATAAAGCATTATAATATAGGGCTTCGAGTTAGTGATCCCAACATATTTTTTGCCTTAATTTTTTTCCCTTAAAGAATATTCTGGGTCAAATACAAGTTAAACTCATGCTGTCAATTATCACACAAAAAATGAACGATTCATACCTATTTATTAAACCAAAAATAATGATATATAATTGAAGTCAATTGGAAAACCGTTGTTCTATAGACTTTCACATTTTTTTTTGATTGTACAAACTTTAATATGAAGTCAGGTATTCAATATTAAGGCTTACTATATTAAATCACAATTATTTTCTGGTGTATTTATCCTGGAATATCTTCTTTTTAGCATGCAAGTCTATTTTTAGGTTAAAGGAATAATTCACCAAAATATGAAAATTTGCTAAAAATGTACTCACTCTCAGGCCATCACAGACGTACAGTATATGAGTTTGTTTCTTCATCAAAATAGATTTGGAGAAATGTAGCATTACATCACTTGCTCAGCAATGGATCCTCTGCAGTGAATGGGTGCCGTCAGAATGAGAGTCCAAACAGCTGATAAAAACATCAGTATATCAATTAATCCAGTATATCAATTAAGTGAAGAGCAGTGTGTTTGTAAGAAACAAATCCATCATTAAGATGTCATTAAGGTGTTTTAACTTTAAACCATCGCGTCTGGCCAAAATTTGACGCCATTATCTATGATGGCGCTTCCTTCCAATGAAAAATGTTCTGTTGTCTTACATCAAAATCCACCCATTTTCACTTCACAAGATGTTAACTGATGGACTGGAGTGGTGTGGATTACTTGTGGATTATTGTGATGTTTTTATCAGCTGTTTGGACTCTCATTCTGACGGCACCCATTCACTGCAGAGCAAGTGATGCAATGCTACATTTCTCCAAATCTGTTCTGATGAAGAAACAAACTCATCTATATTTTAGATGGACTGAGGATGAATAAATGTCCAACAAATTTTTAACTTTGGGTGCACTTTCTTTAACAGCTGGCTGAATGTGTATATAAACTCATTTATTCAAACATGTGTGGCTCTTTTCAAATAAAGGCTGTCGACATCAAACTCGCCGTACGCAAATTTTATTTTGAAAAGATAAATACATTCAGGTATACCGTGACAGACTGGATACAGTTGTGTGCCTTCAACGCTGATATTAAAACACATTACTATTATATTACTATGCGGAGAAAACCATAACGCCACCAGATTTCACGTTTACACGTCAACTTTTACGTGACAAAACTGTACTTGTACTTTAAATATACTCTTTTATGTTCATACTTTTACAGTAGTCTGGTGAGACTTTCAGTGCTGTGATCCCGTCCGTCTGCGTCTTAGCGATCATAAAACATAAAAACTGAAATTTACATTTGCCCAAAGATACAGTAGCTCACAGTCTAAACTATTTACATCTAGCCAAAATAAAATCTCTTAAATAACAGTAGTCACACAAAACTAAACATACAATTCAGTCTCAGAGGTACGATAAAATAACCGAACGTGTTCGCCAATGTAAACTTAAAACAACAAAGTGTGTTTGGAATGGGATCTCACTATATTACACACTTTAAATACAAACATTTAAGTATCTTTAAATCCTTACGCCAGAGCTCGCACGTCCGTTTTATTTTTTGATAAAAAGTCACGTTGTGCATTCGAAACGGGTTTGTTGTACAGTAAAAATCTGCAAGCTACAAAACGTCAAGGCTGATTGGTCAGTTTAAACCATGTTCCTCTAACCAGCGCTGGCTGCTGACCGGTGGATCTAACGTTGCGTGTGCGTAAAGACAGGAACATGCGTAATTTAAAGGGAAATATCCTCAAATCTATGCAAATGTGCATCCCTAGCACATATTTATGGACAAGGCATTTCTTCCTACAGTATATTCCATAATTCCTGTGATCTAGCAAAGACATATACAAGTGTGACAGATGCTGGAATAAAGGTTTGGGCAAGCTGTGACTCTTAAGGATATCAAATGTGGATGTGCTGGTGGTCAGAGAGGGCAAGTTCGGAACTAAGGAAGCCTCATGCTAAGGATCTTGGGATTGGGAGCCGTTACTTGTAAACCTTGCTATCCTGCGAGTTTCACAGCTGAGCTCTAGAAAACCGTGCTGATGTACAGTCATGGTGGTGGCTGTGGATGAGTCTGTGGGATCTATGAGTCTATAAACGGTTTGCTTGTGTGAGGGTGTATTAGCGGCTCAAATGGGATTGGTGTTTGGTGTTTTCACACTGGCTCCTGACTATATACGTGTGCTAGCACAGGACGGATATGTGGCATCTCCAGCTCCTGGTCCATAGATGGGTGGCGCTCTAGCGCTTGGTCTTCAGTATCCAGTCGAACAGGCTGGGCACGGGCCGTCCTCTGTGCTCCAGGTCCTGATGGAGCTGACAGAACTGAGCCACAGCGCTGAACAAGTCACCAACACGCCAAGTCTTCTGACCTGCCAACTGCACCACTCTGTGGAACTGAGAAACAAACATGAGCCATGCTCATCTTTATCAGCAGCCACTGCAGTTATACCACTCTTATTTTAGTATCACTGATATACTATTATAGTTTTTATTGATATTTTGAATTAGATTTTATTTTTCACTTTGAGTTATTTTAGTTTTTATTTGTCTAAAAATATCTATTGTGTAGGAAAACATGAAAACATGTCTATTTTGATTTAAGTTTTAAGTAATGAAAATGCTTATTCAAGGTTTTAGTGTTAGTTAACAATAATAACCCTGTTATACTAATATACCAAACACTAACATATATGCATATTTATAATATAAAACAACACTGATTATGTACAATTGCCAAAGCCATGCAGAACAAATGAAGGAAAAAAAAAAAAGGTTACACTTTATTAAGGTGTCCTTGTAACAGTGTAATTATACATTTAAGTACTGAGTAATATTAATTAACTACATGCACTTACTTTATTGTTTAGGGTTAGACTTAGGGTTACTTGCATGTAATTATGCATAATTTATTGTTATTATAATAGTAAGTACATGTAAGTTGTGTAACAAGCATTTACATTTAGTCATTTAGCAGATGCTTTTATCCAAAGCGACTTACAAATGAAGACAATAGAAGCAATCAAAATCAACAAAAGAGCAATGATATGCAAGTGCTATAACAAGTCTCAGTTAGCAGTTAGCTCAGTTAGAAAACAGATAGAGCAAGCTAGTGTTAGAGGCCTTTTTTGCTTTTTTTAATTGTATAATAAAAGAAAACAAATAGAATACAAAAAGATAAGCTAGAAAACAAGCAGTTAGTAAATGAATAGAGTGCAAGTCTAAAAGGGGCAAGTTTTTTTTTTTTTAAGAATAGAATTTAGAATAGAGAGTGCTAGAGTTAGAGGGTCAAATAAAGATGGAAAAGATGTGTTTTTAGCCGATTCTTGAAGAAGGTCATTCCACCAGGAGGGAACATTTAAAGTGCCCCTATTACGGATTTTTGAAAATTACCTTTCATGCAAAGTAAAGTTCTCGACCCCTTTCATGCAGTGTGTAACACAGCTCTACGTGAATGAAAACACCCTGCAAAGTTTTAAATCTGAAAGTGCACTGTGTATAAAGTTATTGTCTCTCAAAAGAAAGAGTCGACTCTGAATCATTAAAACGAGTCGTTTTTTTAAAACGAATCCCAAGCCGTTTCATGTTGATGTCAACATGAAACCTGATAAAGCAGCGTTTGTGAGCGCAGTGCTGCTTTGTGTACAGCGTTAGCGGGGAAACCGCTATTTTACCGCTCTTAAAGCTGCACCTAGTGGCAAAGAATGAATTTGCATTTTCATTCAGACCAACGCGTAAAGGCCAACAAGTGGGCGGGCAATATGCTAGTTTCATGTTGACGTCAACATGCTAGTTTCATGTTGACGTCAAAACTCCTGCGTTGCTTACGAGACATTATTGTCGCTACAGCTGATCGAGTGCAGAGAAAATGGTGGAGAGCGTACAACTGGGTGGGAATATGCTAATACGGGGCAGTCTGTCAGCAGTTGCAGGCGGGGCTTGAGCAGTATGACATCATCAAAACAGCTTGATAATTGAGAATTTAGGTTTTTTGCGGATTAAAAAAAGAGGAGTGAATGGATTTTTGTCATTGTTGGGTGGTTGTGTCCACACACTGCAAAGACACATTAATATGCAAACATCACGTAAAAGTGAATTTGGCATCTAATGTCCCCTTTAAAGTCCCTGTTGGTTTAATGGTAAGGTGTCCCAATAGTTTTGTCCATATAGTGTATATATATTTTGGTAATATTTTGTTTACCTTACTTGCTCAACGACTCCCAAACGATTCGCTCAACGATTCATTTTTCCAAACCCCTCCTTTACGTGACTCTAATCTGCAGTGATTGGTCGAATGGTCTCATTTTCATTTCATCTTGCCTGTAATGCCTGATAAAGTGATTTTGTGCCTCTTTGGGATGGCACAATAAAGCAACGTTCACTTGCAGAACCAAAATATTACCAAAATATATATACACTATATGGACAAAACTATTGGGACACCTTACCATTAAACCAACAGGGACTTTAAAGGGGACATTAGATGCCAAATTCACTTTTACGTGATGTTTGCATATTAATGTGTCTTTGCAGTGTGTGGACACAACCACCCAACAATGACAAAAATCCATTCACTCCTCTTTTTTTAATCCGCAAAAAACCTAAATTCTCAATTATCAAGCTGTTTTGATGATGTCATACTGCTCAAGCCCCGCCTGCAACTGCTGACAGACTGCCCCGTATTAGCATATTCCCACCCAGTTGTACGCTCTCCACCATTTTCTCTGCACTCGAT